AAGTTTAATCCATCTCTAAAACTTAACCCTGATAAAAAACACCAACTTGCTCTTGATCGGTTGTCAATGACTTACTCTTGGTATAATATTAGAAGTGATTATGGAAACAATAAAATCAAATACACTCATGATGGAAGGACTTGGCAAACAATTACTTTTACAGATGGAATGTATTCCTACTCAGATATTAATGATTACATTCATCAATACATGTCTCAAAAGACTCATCACACAACAGATTCCAAAGGTGAAAAGAAGTATTCAATCAATCTAACTTTTATTCTCTCCACATATCGAGTTCTCATATCACTTGATGGTGATTATCAACTTGATCTAAGAGGTACAGATTTTGGAGACCTGATTGGATTTGAAAAGAAACTTATTACAAAAACAGAGTATGGAACAAAACTACCAAATATAACAAATTCGATTGATGTGTTAAATATCAACACAACCGCAATAACTAATAGTATTGTAAATGGAATAAATACAAATACCATTGCTGTAATACCAACAGACAATCTAACAAGGTCTTTTCCATTTACGTTTGAACCTAAAAGACCATTGTATTGTGACACCTCTTCATTTCACATTGATGAAATGAGAATCTATGTGACAGACTCACTTGGAAGACCAGTAAATTTTAATGGTATTGATTGGTTTATGACTTTGATACTTCACTCAATGTAAACCCCCCTGCCCGCTAATAAAATCATTTTGTATAACTATTAAATTAAAATGAGTAGACAATCAGAGTTTAAAATGAAACTTGACCCTGAATTGGGTAGATATACAAGACAACATATTTATGGAGAAGGAGTAATGGATGTGTTTAAATCAGTTGGTACAAAATTATTTGGAAAAACAGTCAAATCAGCTGTCAAAAAAGGAGCTAAAAAAGCAGTGACAGCAGCTGCAACAAAAACCGGTGAACATGTTGGTAAAAAGGCTGGTGATAAGATAGTGCAGTTGTTATCAAACGGGGGGGTTGCATCCCCCCGAAAACCCCCTGCAAAAAAAGTTAGATTTAATAAAAATGTTGAAAAAATATCTCAACAAGAGATAGATCAAATGTTGAATAACCTTCTTAGTGGAGGTTCAACACGTAAGAGAAAATTATATAATTATCAAAATAAAATGAAGTCTTTTAGAAATCCAAAATATTTAGATAGATATGAAGATGTTGTATTTGACCTGGAACAGTCTTTAGATACGACTCCAGCAAATAACGCTCACCAAACTAAAACAGGTCTTAGATTTGTTGCTGATAATACAGGAGAAACTACTCCTTTTGATTGGTATAACGCCAGACTATCAATGGATTTTAAAGTAAATAAGCTGGCAGATNAAGAAGATGTTTCTACCATTAATAAAGTAATTGATGATGTTAACGAAGATTTAGAAGATTTGAGTGCAAGAATAAAAAATACTGCAGATTTTGTACGAGACGCAAACGGTTATGTTTTAGCTCAACCAAAAAGTAAAAAACCACGAGAAGAAACATTAGATTACATAAAAAATTTTAACATATTAAGCATATATGCAACAAATTTAAGTAATCTTAAGTATTACAAAACAAAATCTGGCTCTGGAATGATTTACTTTAACAACCCACATCAACTTCTAGACAGACTTGAATTACTCGGTGGTTCAATTCTTGCTGGTAATAATGGTGTAATACCTGAGTTTTCTCAAATAGCACATCTTCTCAACCAAATGAAAGTAATCTCAAAAAAACAACTTAACGATCTACTAAAAAGTTATATACCTATTTAAATAAATGGAAGAACGAGCTATTCACATTTCCTCTATTAATAGGGAAAAAAGAGGAACAAGCAAACCTGGTGATTTTACTATTAAGTTTAATCCATCTCTAAAACTTAACCCTGATAAAAAACACCAACTTGCTCTTGATCGGTTGTCAATGACTTACTCTTGGTATAATATTAGAAGTGATTATGGAAACAATAAAATCAAATACACTCATGATGGAAGGACTTGGCAAACAATTACTTTTACAGATGGAATGTATTCCTACTCAGATATTAATGATTACATTCATCAATACATGTCTCAAAAGACTCATCACACAACAGATTCCAAAGGTGAAAAGAAGTATTCAATCAATCTAACTTTTATTCTCTCCACATATCGAGTTCTCATATCACTTGATGGTGATTATCAACTTGATCTAAGAGGTACAGATTTTGGAGACCTGATTGGATTTGAAAAGAAACTTATTACAAAAACAGAGTATGGAACAAAACTACCAAATATAACAAATTCGATTGATGTGTTAAATATCAACACAACCGCAATAACTAATAGTATTGTAAATGGAATAAATACAAATACCATTGCTGTAATACCAACAGACAATCTAACAAGGTCTTTTCCATTTACGTTTGAACCTAAAAGACCATTGTATTGTGACACCTCTTCATTTCACATTGATGAAATGAGAATCTATGTGACAGACTCACTTGGAAGACCAGTAAATTTTAATGGTATTGATTGGTTTATGACTTTGATACTTCACTCAATGTAAACCCCCCTGCCCGCTAATAAAATCATTTTGTATAACTATTAAATTAAAATGAGTAGACAATCAGAGTTTAAAATGAAACTTGACCCTGAATTGGGTAGATATACAAGACAACATATTTATGGAGAAGGAGTAATGGATGTGTTTAAATCAGTTGGTACAAAATTATTTGGAAAAACAGTCAAATCAGCTGTCAAAAAAGGAGCTAAAAAAGCAGTGACAGCAGCTGCAACAAAAACCGGTGAACATGTTGGTAAAAAGGCTGGTGATAAGATAGTGCAGTTGTTATCAAACGGGGGGGTTGCATCCCCCCGAAAACCCCCTGCAAAAAAAGTTAGATTTAATAAAAATGTTGAAAAAATATCTCAACAAGAGATAGATCAAATGTTGAATAACCTTCTTAGTGGAGGTTCAACACGTAAGAGAAAATTATATAATTATCAAAATAAAATGAAGTCTTTTAGAAATCCAAAATATTTAGATAGATATGAAGATGTTGTATTTGACCTGGAACAGTCTTTAGATACGACTCCAGCAAATAACGCTCACCAAACTAAAACAGGTCTTAGATTTGTTGCTGATAATACAGGAGAAACTACTCCTTTTGATTGGTATAACGCCAGACTATCAATGGATTTTAAAGTAAATAAGCTGGCAGATGGTGGAAACATTGCTGTTGCAGATCATAACGGAATTGTAAATGGTAGTAACTCATTTATAGAAAAATTAAGTATCCTAGCAAATGGTAGAGAGGTCTATAGTTGTAACTACGCAAATCATGTTGTAAATATTAAAAATTTGCTTGAGTATAATCCTTCATATGCACAGAGTGTTGCTACAAACGAATTTTATTTTCCTGATACATCAACAGCTGCAGAGGAAAGAGAATTTGAAGTTAGTGGCACAAATCAGTTAGCTAAAAGAAAAGCAACATATAACAAAGGCTTTGCTGCAAGAAAAGCTCTATTAGGTGTATCAGCCACAGTAAATTGTGAAATTCCTCTTAATAGATACTCCTTCTTTGAAGCATTGGAAGACAAGCTGCTTCCAAATACAAAAATTGAGCTAAATATTGAAATTGAAAAAGATGCAAATTTAATTTTTCAAGCCGCTGATAATTGTAGAGTTATTATAACAAGACTACAACTTTTTATTCCGAAACTTACGTTTAATTCAGAAGGACAAAAGTTGTACATGGAGAATTATCTTAAACCTTACAAATGGATATATTTGAATGAAGTAGTTGAAAGATCAAATAATTCACAGCAACAGACAGGTCATTTTAGAATTACAAATGCTATTTCAAAACCAAGGCATGTATTTGTTTTTGGAATTGATACAGCAAGAATTGATTCACAAACAGCAAATCCATTTTTATACGACACTTTTAATCTACCAAATAATGCAAATATAAGAGATTGTTACCTAGAAGTTGCCAATGGAAACGAATATCCTGATATTCACTTTAAACCTTCTACAGATTTGTCAAGAGTTTTTAGAAATGTAATGTCATACGTCTATGTAAATAATGATTACCAAGGTGGGACATTACTTAATATAAGTAATTTCAAAACTTTATTTCCTTTTGTTTATTTTGACCTGACAAAACAAAAAATGGATATCAAAGATGGGGTCACAAAATTAGCATTTCATTATGAATTAACTGCTAATCCAAACGCCGATTATAATATTTACGCTTTAGTCTTACATGAAAGAATAGCAGAAATATCGCAACAAGATGGAAAACTATTACTCCGTGCTTAATCTAAAAATAAAATAAAAATGGCAAATCCTTTTGATATATATCCACCAGTAACTTTAGAAAAATATCCTTTTTTAAAAGAAAATAAATACTTTGAATATGTTATAAACTTAACTCCATCACAAATAAAAGATTTTGGAAAAAACAATATTATAACTTTAGACTTCAAATCTAATAAAGAACCTTATAAAGTTTTTCTTACAAATTCCCAAATTAAAAAAGTAGAGACTGCAAAAAAAAAACTTAAGAAAAAAATTGATTTAAAATTCAGTAAAACTCAGTTTAAAAAAACTTTGCCTTATGTTACTAGATTAAATCATTCGTGGATAAAGCAACGAGCTAAAGATCGACTTGAGATTTTAAAAAAAAGAAAATGCTAAGAAAGCAAAACAATTAAAGAAATTAAAACTACAAGACCAACTTGAGATTTTAAAATCAGACAATGCTAGGAAAGCCAAAAAATTAATGTCTTTGAAAAATAAAATTAATCTTGATACCTTTGTTAAAAATACACTAAAAGAATTAAATAAACCTAAAAATAAACCTAAACCTAAACCTAAACCTAAGAAAAAAATTAGTGACAATTGGTTTAATTTTCTTTCAGAAATTAGAAAAAATTAATATACTCACTATTTACTCATTAGTCTTAACATTAAGTTTGTTACTTAATCCAACAAAAAAAATATTAATATAATTATTAAAATAAAAATGACTACTTACTTTGAATACGATGTAAAACTAACAGATGGGCAAAAGTCAAAACTGGCTTCTGCAATAAGAAATAAATCACCACTAACTCTTCGGTTAAAACACTCTCAGCTTAGAGGTTCTGATGAGTTAATGCTAACCCAAAGACAAATTTCTAAAATAAAAAAATCTATTGCAAATGGCACAGGATCAGATATAAAGATAAGTAAAACACAGATTAGGCATTCTGTAAAACATGGAGGAAACTTATTTTCATCACTCGCATCTCTTGGAGCGCGAGTACTACCTTACGCAATAAAAGGAGTTTCAAAAGCTGTTCCTGCATTAGCAACTGGTGCTGCTACTGCACTTGGAGAACTTGGAATAAATAAAATATTTGGAAAAGGAATTACAATTCCAAAAAAGTTTTTCCCAATGTTACCCGCTATTAGAGGAGAATTAACCAAATCACAAATAGATCTAATAAATAAGATGTTTCAATCTGGTGGACGAGTAGTTATAAAACCAACTCGAAAACAGATAGAAGGAGGATTTCTTGGAACTCTTGCTTCTATTGGTATTCCAATGGCAATTAGTTTAGTATCTAAGATGTTTGGTGGGGGTCTTCAGGTTGATAGACGTGGATCATCTAATACATCAAATGTTTACGTTCCACCTCCTCCTCCTCCCCCATCAACATATGGTGAGGGTTATCCTTATCACTTTCCACCACCTTTTTTAGGTACATGGAACAACCCAATTGGAATGGGGGTAAAAAAAAAAAAGTCCAAGGGCAAGGGTCTTCTTCTAGGAAAAAACAGCCCATTCAACTCAATTCCAATTCTCGGAACCATTTTGTAATGGGGGGAGTGCCTCCCCCCAAAACCCCCCTGCTCACTTCCTTTGTTATTAAACCTCTTTCCAACTTTGATCTTTTGGATTGGATAAAAAGACTTGGTATTAAACATTTTAGAGGAATTTATAGTCGTGATGGACTACCAAAAAAGATAAGAAAAGAATGTGGAATAATTAATCTAGATGATATTACAGGCCCTGGAACACATTGGGTTTGTTATAGAAATATAGATGGGGAAAGTGCCTCCCCCCAAAACCCCCCTGCTGCTTGGAGTGGTGTAGTTGAGTACTTTGATCCTTTTGGACTAATAATGCCAAAGGAAGCATTAAAGTATTTTCGTACTTCTGGAAAACGAATAGTTTACTCAATGGATGAAATACAAAATCGCAATACTGTTCTCTGTGGTTATTGGTGTTTATACTATCTGTTTGAGAGACAAAGGGGTAGTAGTATTCTAGATGTAATACATAACCCACATTTTGATAATGACAACAGTGATTTTATAAAAGCGTACTTTGGAGGGTGAACCTAAGGTTCTAAGTAAAAATAATATTTAATAAATATTATTTTTTTATTCACTATCCGCTGGTGTATCCTTTAGTTGCTTAACTTTCTCAACTTTTTTATTTAAATCTTTAACACTATCAACTATTTCATCAAAACTACAATAAATATCAATAAGGCGATAAAGTTTCTTCTTTTTATCATTATTTATTTTCAACCAAGAATAGTCCTCATCTCTGATCTTTTTCCACATCTCACATTCACCAGCCACTAGTATTCTAGAAAGATCATCATTTTTCTTTCTAAGAGACTCAAACTCATTATTTATTTGTGTTCGAACATCTTTCTCAAAATCTTTTAGTGTTTTAACATCCATCTTTTTTTCTATCTCAGAAAAGAACTTGGCTTCCATTTGTTTTATGAATAGATAAAGTATTTTGGGGGGTTAAATATTTTTCTCAATTCTATGTATTACTTTGTAATGATTATTTAGTGTTGTTTTACTACGAAATGCTTTTGGGCAATATTTACAAGGAATACGAACACCAGCCATATATTTATGAATAAGTTTGCTAATCTTATCATAATCATTACTTAGAATAAATGCATAATCGTTACTACGATACTTTTCTTTCATTTTTATTTGAGATTCTGATACGCAGTAATTATTAGTTGGTGATTTGAATTCTATACATAATCCCCGATAATCTTTGTGATAATTTAATATCATTAGATCTGGGGTCCCGCGCAAATAACCTTTCTTATACGAATCCAGTCTCTTTTCCTCAATATCTTGATTCTCCCCCAGTCCAGCTACTAATATCGAATCAGGATAGTAATTTCTAATTAGTTGAACAACTTTGTAATGAAGGTCTCTCTCATTACCAATCATTATCATCTTATTCCAAGGACTATCAAACAATTTATATTGTCCATATTTTCTTATTGAAGGAAGGACTTGTGAAGTAACCCAATGTTTAAACTTCTTAGCTGTTTCTAATTTAGAGGATAACAAAAGGGAGTAGAAACCAGATTCATTTATAAAAATAGGAGGTCTACCTCTTTTGGAATAACCCGTCGAAACGACGGGAAAAGATTTTTCGGAATAACCCGTCGTTTTGACGGGGCAGCTTTTGACCTGACCCGTCGTTTTGACGGCCCCTTTATATTTATCCTCTTCCTCAACATGTTTTCTAATTGCTTGATTAGTGTCTTTATAGCCAAGTATCTCAGCTACCTCTTGACCAAGAAACCAAATATTTTGTTGTTTGTCAATAAATGATTTTAACTCAATTCCTAAATCTTTATTAGTAAACTTCTTCTCCAGCATGTTTGTCATTTTATATAATAATTATATTCTTTAAGTCTTAATTTATCATATAAAAAAATAATTACCTTTTACAACTTTGTTGAGAGTACTTGATTTTTCACTTATTTCCATAAGCAACTCAAATACTTTTATAAATCTAGTGTCATTTTCCAATCTAGCAAAATCAGCATATTCAAAACTCATGTTTAAATTGTTATATATCTTTTGAAGTTCACTTCTCAAAAAATTAGATCTGGTAGACATATTTTATCTAAACAATATATTAAATGAAAGAATCATATTGTATTGTAGATAAAAGAGTAACTCCTTGCACAGAGCCAAGTGGTTACCAAACTGATAAAAGAGGGCGAACTCAATTCTACTGTAGATGTGCAGTTTGTGGAAATAAAAAAGTTAAATATGTGAAAAGTGGATCAGCTTCTCAAAGTGGCAGTGGAAAAAAGAGAAAACGAAAGTCAAAAAACTAAACAGCCCGTCTGAAGGGGCGGGCGTCTTTGATACTGTAGTTGGTACAGCAGTTGATGGTTTTGTTAATTATGGTTTACCTTGGATGGGTAAAAAAGCAGTTGAAATGGGGCGATATGGAGCAAGTGAGTTAATGAGAAATAAAAATATTCAGAAGAAAGCTGTAAATTATGGAATCAGTAAACTCACTCCATTTATTCAAGATTCTGTTGGAACAGCAATGGATCAACTGTCAACAAAAGTGAGACCAAATAAAAAGTATAAAACTGATAGAAAGGATTTAGATGGTGCTGGAATAGTTGATAGTGCATTAACATCAGGTGCATTTGGATCTCCGTATCATGTGGATTTTAAAAAAGGATTCCAATTATTGACTGACCCTGATTTATTTAAACAACCAAGTGGTGATGAAATCAAAGATGCTAAAGCTCGTGTTAAGTACTACAAGGAGCAGTACAAAAAAGCTAAAGCTAATGGTTACAAGGGATCATATACAAGTTTCGTTAAAAAAAAGGGTTGGGCGGGAAAACCATCTTTTACATTCCCGGGATTTGGAGGAGCAATAGATATCCATAAACAGATTGGTAAATTACCAAAACCAAAAGGTGGATGGACCTTACCAGGCCATAAATATACGGGTCCTTATAACGATCTCGAAAACCAAGTGCGATACAATCCGGAAACTGGTGAAATACTAGAAATTTACGATCAACCAACTGGAGCAACTGATGCTGTGGCCATGCAACATGATGTTGATTATAGTGTTTGTGGTGATGACCGAAAGTGTAAAAATAAAGCTGATAGAAAAATGGTAAAATCTTTGGATGCAATTCCTTGGAAAGAAAGACAATGGGGGCATACTTTAGCTAGAACAATTATAAATACAAAACAAAAACTTGGGCTTGGTTTAAACGCGAGTCGGCGTTGAGTAGTGATTGGTCTCAACAATTAGCCGACGAACTTCACAAACCAATCACAAGAAACTTTCAGAAGAGATCAGTAATCTCAAACGGGATTGATGATATCTGGGCTGTTGATTTGGTTGAAATGCGAAAGTTTAGTAAGTGGAATAAAGGGATTAAATATCTTCTGATGGTAATAGATGTGTTTAGTAAGTATGGATGGATTAAGGGATTGAAAGATAAGAAAACTGAAACTGTTAGTAAAGCATTTGAGGATATATTCAAAAGTAAACGTAAACCTCAAATGTTATGGACAGATAAAGGTTCTGAGTTTATAAGTAAACATTTCAAAGATTTTCTTAAAAGTAAAGGTATTAGGTTGTATCACACTGAAAACGAAGAGAAATCTAGTGTTGTTGAGCGATGGAATAAAACAATGAAAAACAGAATGTGGAAAATGTTTACTGTGAATAACAACACTGTTTACTGGGATAAGTTAGACAAACTAGTTAATGACTACAATAATACGAGACATTCTAGTATAAAAATGACTCCTGTTGAAGCAAGTAAAAAGAAAAATGAAAGTAAAGTTTGGAATAATTTGTATGGTGATTTAATTTACTTGAAACCTGGTAAACCAAAGTTTGCAATTGGTGATTATGTTAGAATTTCTAAGTATAAGAGAAAGGTATTTGATAAAGGTTACACACCAAACTGGACAGAGGAAATATTTGTAATTGATAAAGTTTTACCAACAAAACCTATTACATATTCTATTATTGATTTGATGGGAGAAGAGATTAAAGGTTCTTTCTACGATCAAGAACTACAGAAAGCAAAACAACAAACATTTAGAATAGAAAAAATTATCAGAAGAGATAATAAAAAGAAAATGGCATTAGTAAAATGGAGTGGATATCCTGATAAATTTAACTCATGGGTAAGTTTGAAGGATTTGACTGATTTTTAATACAAAATTTGTATTAAAAATAAAATCCAATTATTTTACTCATCTTCTTCATCAGATAAAATTAAGTCTTCAGCTTCTTGATTAGTTATCTCTTCACCTTCACTCTCCTCCTCTTCAATCGTTAGTAAAGATTCTCTAGGTTTTAATGGTATGATATAGCACTCATGTACTTTTATTTGTAAAGATGTTACATTATTACTTATAAATATTCCTTCGATTATTAATGCCATTTTAACATTGCAATATTGATTAATATATTTGAAAGGATTTAAATCCTTCTTTCCTTTTGTTTTAAATAGTGAAAGAATTTTCTTTGATTTCTCAGAGTAAATAAGTTTTGCATAAAGAACTGGTGAAGATGATAAATCAACTTTTGTTCTCTTTTTTCCTTTCTTGTCTGTATATTCTTCCTTTTTGTAATAAAATGGTGAAGGTAGAGTTGATGCTAGATCTGCTCCATATTCATTTTCTAGATGTTTCTGAGATGCAGTTTTTATATCACTAATAACAACAAAAAATGCTTTTTCTTTACTACTCGGTTCACTATCTTTAGACCAAAGACATACTGGAATACTATAACCTACTAACTTACCTGTTTCTTGATTTTTCTTTTCATTAACACCAAAACTAAAAAGAACTGGAGTTTCGATTACGAGTGGTCCTTTTTTGTTATTTGGATACTTAACTTCAATTGGAATACGTTTATATTTAATATTACTGTTTTTTACTTTAAACTCTTTGGCTTCATTAAAGATAATATTCTCTTGGGTAATATTTTCGTAGCTGGTGAGTTGCATTTTTTATTTAATGTTTAGATAATATTTAAATCATAAATCAATTTTATTTTTTCTGCAGCAAGCTTTTTAGCATTTCTGGGTAATCTCTTAAACTCTGGTCCTTTAATAATAATTTTTTCGTTTGGAACATAATCTGGATCCTCATCATGTCTATAACCATCATCAACTATAAATTCCAAATCCTCTTTTGTAGGAGTAGTCTCTCTTGACCTTGGTTCCATTTTTTATTAATTATTTATATTAATTTTATAACAAAAAAAAAATGTTATAAAATTTTAACCACTAAATTTCATTTATTTTTTCCTCTAATTCAAGTATTCCTTCAACAAGTATTTTATCTTCAATAAATAAACCAAGATCATAAAATAACCCCCTAATAATTATTTTATCTTTTTTCAACATTAAATCAATAAAATACCAATCAACAATCTTAAGATTATCTTTTGTTGGAATAAGAAAATAATTAATTGTAAAACTTACTAGATTAAGTAAATAATCACAAATAATATTTTTTTCCTTCTTTTTAATAACTTCAATATATTCCCTGAGTTTAAGTGAAAATTTTATATTATCCTCTTGTAATTTTTTATTTATTGTAAAAGGTTGCAAACCATTTGTTTGATTGGACATTTTGTCCTGTAATAAAATTATTACAGGACATAAACTTTACTGGTCACTCTCATCACTTTCACTAAAACTATCACTCTCATCACTTTCACTAAAACTATCACTCTCATCACTTTCACTAAAACTATCAATGTCACTCTCATCACTTTCACTATCATTTATATTATCACCTTCAAAAATAGAATACAAATCATCTTCAAAATCTTCTTCATTTTTAATTTTACACATATTAGTAAACATTATTAAATTCTCAAATAAATATTGAAAATCTTCATCAAAATTAAATACAAGTGGAAATCTTAATCCTATATTTGTATATATACAAATTCTTAACTCAATTATCTTATTAACATCACTCAAATTAAACTTTAATTCTCTAATATTTTTAAGTCTGCCCAATCTCTCTAATGACAAAACTCTTCTAAAATTTCTAACAAGTGTTTTTACTCCTGGGGATGAAAAAACTTTTTCATAATCAGTGTTGTTTTCTATATTGAGTAATATTGTTTCACAGCTCTTATTAATCCCTCTTATGAAAAGCCATTCTTTTTTGTAGTTTTTGGCATATTCGGGGATTTTATTATTTGTATTTTCTGTCATTTCTCCGGTTATTCCCCTTTGTGAAGGGGTACTAGAATGTACTGCAATGACCATTTCCCTTACTACTATCAATAAAAAGGGAACCTTTCTATGACAACTTGCTAACTAAGGAAAATCAACTGTCCTAAAAACAGTGCCGAAAACAGTGTTTTGTAAAATGATAGCCGTTCTAAAAACCATCAGTTTTTTTATGCATATTAAAAGTTTCTTGGTCTGTTTTGCCGCTTTAGTACTCTGGCAGGACCAATTAATGGGGAGTCTTGAAACCTCAAGCAAATTTACACTGTATACGCCAACATATTGGTTACGACGATTAACAACAATCTCTGGGGAAAAATTTCCTAAACTCAGTGGATGAACTTGACAAACCGCTGCCAAAAGCAATGTCTTGTAAAGTGATAGCCGTTTTAAAAACCTTCAGTTTTTAAGCAAAATTAAATGTTTGTGTTTATGACTTTCTTTGTCTAGTACCTCGCTTCAGTATGGCAGGGCCAATTAATGACAAGTCTTGAAACCTCAACCAACGCACTTCAAACGCCAACGTATTGGTTACTAGGATTAAGGCTCTGGAAACTGATAACACAATCTTATAAAAACAAGACAAAAAAACATCGCCTGGGTATTGCCGCCTTAAAGGAGACGTTACCAAAATAGATAATCTTTTCTTTAGCTCCAAGACTCTTTGGCGTTAGAAAATATCTTTACAGTTTTCTGCACTGCAATTTTATATGGCTGTTTATCAGACTAAACTTCTTCAAAATCCGTAATAAGGGAATATTAATTAAATTGTCTTGAGGGTCAACTTACAGGTCTATTTTTCTTTAGTTATCTGTGAACATACAACATAAAAAGAATGAAACCAATAAGAACTTAACAAAATTTTTTAGGTTGACTTGGCGTAGAGGGAAGGTTATTTTTTCAGAAAAGTCTTTATGTTTATTTAACCATAAATACCATATTCTCCGGTCTTAATAAAAGCGCCAATCAGCAGCCGTCACAAAATCGTTTTCTGTCCGTCCAAAAATCTAATTACAACCATTGCTTATCTTTCCAAAAAGAATTTTCATCGAATCGTCTAGTATATTCCTTTTAAAAAGCGAAAAAATGATAGGTTCCCATTAGCTTTACTTAAAAGTTCTTGAAAACTTTTATTTCAATTCTCGGGAGTGCTTAATGGGTTTTTACTCCAACACAGTTAAAATTTAAATTTTGCTTTAATTATTAAATAGTCTTTAAAAACAGTAGCTTTTTGACGACTTGCCAAATAAGAAGAATATACTGTTCAATAAGGTTTTAGAGACTACGTGGGTTCTTTCGATCATTAGCTATAGCTTATACAGTCTTAACTATAAAATAGTCTATAAATTAAAACTAATTAAAGTTTTTGGGACTTCGATGCGATTGAAACCCTTCAGAATTGAATGAAACGCAAGACCAAATTCTTATCGGGATTTGCTTATACGTGGTTATTGTGTACAATGTAGTTATGTCCATCTGACTGTTAGCAAACTCAGTATTAGCCATTAGTAAAAGGAATCACCTGCTGTGGAATCTGGCGGTCCGTGGCAAGAACCCAACGTTAATTGCCTCACCACCTAAAACAATGGGATGGGTGGTTCGGGTTAGTTCAAATTTCAAACTGAAGTTTGTTAGCAAACGTTCTAAAAACGATTCAAAGAAAAATGTTGGTGAGTGTTTTGAGACCTGAAAATAGTATAGCGCTGTCTTCAAATCGATTTTTTTTTCCCAAAGATTCTCCTAGTTATATGTAGTTTCAGTTGAAAAAAATTCTTTTTTTAGGTTATGAGCACTTTCTTTCAAGTAGGTTGAATCAAGAAATGCCCTTTTTTGCAACATCAGTTCTACCCATCATGGTTTAAGTCATCTGCCGGCGAGTTGTTTGTTTTTTTAGGTACCAGCTGGCGTAACAAAAGCTTGCCTAGTAGGGAGTGGTGGGGTGGTTACTTGTGTAGGTGAATCCGAGAAACTCCCTTTT